ACGTCAAACATGGCTTCGATTCACAATAAAAACGATATGAACGAAAGCATAAAAGACGGTAGAAGCAAAATTAACGAAAGAACCGAACCTAGTACCGGTTCGTTCCCTTTGCGGGACACTTAATTTGAACTAGTTCCTTTTCGAACGACCCAACCATATTTAATAGAGAAAATTGGGAAATAGCTTTAGACCTTCCAGAGATATGGGTCGCTGAAGTCGTCAAATAGCCAGTTAGAAAAAAAATAGTGGATACCGCCATACAAAACTCGACATCGAAATTTAAACCCACCCTTAAACCCATATTGTGCATGATTCTATAGTCGACTTCAACACGTTTTAACAAAATGTATAGGTCCAAATCGTTACATATTTTTCTCTAGAGGTAGGTAGATCTAAAAACTTTACCTAAAACTTGGCACCGGATAACCCTGAGCTGGACACATTAGACTAACCGTACCCTGCAGACGTACAAATTCAATAGCTGTCTTTTGTATCAATTGAACTCGTGGAGCAGCGCCACTAATGGGTTCTACAACAATATTTAAATGAATTTTATTAATATAATAGCATTCTGGAAGTATGAAACTAGAACTACGTGAAAACTGCCTGAATATTTTAGAGGTATTTATTTAAAACCCCTCCCATGAAGTTTTGTGTTAGTTACCTAAAAAATGGTACCGGATAAGCTTGAGCTGGACACAACAGAGTTACACTTTGTGCTAAATATACATCAACATTGCGTGTCTTATCACCAGATGTCAGGCGAGGACTTACAGAGCCAACGGGTTCTGAAAATTTATAATTATGGGTCTGAGGTTTGGATATGGAAACTGCCTGAATGTTTGGGTTCATTTTGATAATTTTTAATGATAAGGGAGGAGGTGAATTGATTAAGGGATATTACGAATTTTTTAGAATATTTTTTAAACATTTTTCATAAACGTTCTGATAGATCCTACAGTCTTTTTTTGGTAGAGATCGATATGAAAATAACTCAAACCAGGAAAATAAATCAAATATTTTTAAAACCCAATTTTTGTTGGTTGTTTTTTTTTTTTTTGTATTATTATTAATTACCTAAATCTTGGCACCGGATAAGATTGTGCGGGACATAATAAAGTTAAACTCTCATTTATTCTGGAGCGCACCATATTCAGTTCATCCTGAGCATTAATTTTGGGTCCAACACTGCCCAAAGGTTCTAAATAAAGAAGAAAAATAAGAAATATTTTTCTCAATGCTTTTTGAAAACTTGAATGCTGGGATGCGGAACAGTTTTTCTCTATTTTAATAATATCCGTTCTTTGCTTGAAATACTTCTACACGAGGTTCAATACACACATTTCCCTCGAAAAATGCATAAAGGAAAACTTCACCCTGATTAAAAAACTATTATAGTTTCCTATTTGGGGAACTTTTAGTCGAAAGATTTACATTTTCACATAAATGTTTCAGCATGGACGCAAATCGTCTATTGGAGGATGGTAAACCTTCGATATAACTCAGCTTAACTTTTATTCCTTATGAAACACCCCGAAGAGATACAAAATCCTTTTAAACAACTCAATATTTTTTATATCCTATAGAAAAAATATTTTTAAAATATATTGAAAGCTATATTTTCCCAAGAATTACCTAAACCATGGCACTGGATACGATTGCCCAGGGCAAAATAATGTTATGCTATGTTTCAAGCGGGCCTCGGCATTTTTTAAACGATTTTCAACCGAGATTTTTGGTGGTACACTGCCAATGGGTTCTGCAAAGGAACACAGATCCATTTAATTTCAATTTCATAATCACAAAACTGCCTGAATATACGATTGAGAACCTTTACAAATTTTGTAATCAATTTAACAAATTTTGTTATCAATTCAATGAACACTTTTATCAATTTAATGAATTGTGATGTAATTTATGAATTGTGATGTAATAATGTGATGTAATTTATTTATCGATTTGATAAATATTTTAATTAAAATAACGAACTATTTTTAATTTGCTTAGCCTGAATATTCGATTAAGGACCTTTACAAAATTGTTCATTAGTTTAACCAATAATTTGATCAATTTTACGAAAATTGTTATCAATTTAACGAATTTTTTTTTATCAATTTAATGAAAATAGTTATCAATTTAATGAAAATTAATCTTAATTTAATAACTATTTTAATTAATGTGATGTAATGTGTTTATCGATTTGATAAATATTTTAATTAAAATGACGTTCCATTTTAATTGAATTTTAATTTGATTACAAGGTTAATTGCCATATTTTTCTTTTTCGTACCTATAAGCAGGCATTGGATATGCCTGAGCCGGGCAAAACAATGAAAAACTGGCACCCAATTTGGCACCAGCATCACGCAAACGTTCACCGATGCTTATTTTGGGTCCCACATGACCCATGGGTTCTAAAACAAGAATAAATAGAAAAACAATCACATTGAGGTGTGTGCCAAGTTATTCCTAGAACTGAAAACTGCCCAATGTTGCTCCCAAGAAATCTTTTTTCATATTGAATGATTTTGAAAATTCAATTCTTAACTAAATGTTTACCTAAAATATGGCACCGGATATGCTTGAGCTGGACAAAAGATGCTAACAGTTCCATTGATGGCCGTTTCGGCGTCATTGCGGCGATTTGCCAAGTTAATGCGGGGTCCAACACTTCCCACAGGTTCTGTTCAAAAAATTAAGGCGTTAAAAATATAATTAATTACAGATTTAAGTTTGTATTGAGAACTGTACTGAATGCGGGTTGTAGGGAGGGTAATATAGAAAATGTTAGTAACCAATCTACGTATTTGAATTTTATACATCTATAATATTGATATGAAGGTGGCGCTAATATCTTTATTATAATCACTGCATTATGTTGCCTAATTTTAGGGGTTTTATTTGTTGCCAGTTTAGAATAAGAAAAAAGGACGATGAGGAATGCAGCCAAATAAGAAAATTCCTACACAGAACATTTTTTGAATTATAAATTAATATTTGATTTTTATTTTTATATATACTAAAGCCTACTTTTCAGCTGACATACCCCTAAAATCCTGTTAATCAATTGTCCACAAAATTACTTTTACAATAAAATTATTTTGGGATATTCCCATGAGATTCCTGTCAAGACACCTTAAAGTTTCATAAAATTAATAGAAATTATTGCCTACTTTAAGGCCGTTTGCACATTCAACAAATAATTGCCTACCTATAAGCCGGCACCGGATATGACTGGGCTGGACAAAATATACTCAATGATGTCTCAATTCTAGCCTCAGCATCTTTACGCCTCTCACCCACACTTATTTTGGGTGGAACACTGCCAACAGGTTCTACAATAGAAAAACAAATGATATCCACAACAACAACAATGTCAAAAACATCATCAAACAATCAAAACACTAAACTATAAGTACTTAAGTAGAGGCAAGTGATTGAAGATGAAGCATAAACTTTTCCGAAAAGAAAACTTTTTAGATTTTAGCCTTTTTGGATGTTGGGTTAGTTGGTCGGACGTTGAAGGAAAAATGTCAATAACCTTTAATAGGATCTTACTGGAGCAACAGAAAACAAATTATTATAAGAAAACTTTTCGAGGATGTAAAAATTCGAATTACCTGTAGGCAGGCACCGGATATGATTGAGCTGGGCAAAATAGTGCAACAGGTGCTTGTTGGTGTACGGCGGATTTTTGCAATTGTTCGGCCATGTTAACACGTGGAGCAACACTGCCAATGGGTTCTGGGACAAGGAAAGTGGAAATAGAATATAAGAAAATTAAAAATAAATTCCACTCGCTAAAACACTACACTGAATGTTGGGGGTTTCAAGTAATCACATACTTTTAGGAGCTTTTTACTTCAGGGGAATATCGGGTTTTGTAGTAAATGCATAGTTTTAGGTGCTTTATATTTCAGATATCTCAAAATGTATGCTGTCTATTTTTGAATTATAAGATCGAACTCAAGGCAGTGCATACCGAAAAAATATCTGTCTTTCAAGTCATTTTCAGCAATCTTTTATGGGGATGATTGAACTTCGAAACATTAATGCTGGCGCAGAATATTATGGATTATACCACAATGGGACCACTTTTATGATTTCTTGTAGGACCCACTCTAACATTTGATTAAAGAAAATATATCGGAATTTAATCGTTTTTTAACAAAATTACCTATAAACTGGCACTGGATATGCCTGAGCTGGACACAGTAGAGCTATAGATTTGCCCTTGTGAGTTATGTCAGTTATTGAACTGTCTTTGGTATTAACTCTGGGTCCAACACTAGCGACGGGTTCTGGAAACAGAAAATTGCATCCAAAATAATTTTAAGAAATTAAAAAAAATTTTGAAAACTGCCCATTGTGAATGTTGTGAAACAAGGTAAACCAAAATTCATTGCATACTTTTAGGCTCATCGTAGTAAACATTAAATTAAAAAAGAAAATATTGCCTACCTATAAAATGGCACTGGATACGATTGGGCTGGGCATAACAAAGCTATACCTTTGCCTTGATGTATAGTATCAGAACTCAGACTATCTTTGCGATTGACTCGAGGACCCACACTGCCCAAGGGTTCTAGAAAAATGAATTATTTTTTCACAAATGTTTATTAAAGAAAAAATATTGAAAACTTTTGGGACCCGAATGTTGGGAGAGAAGAAAATCGATTAGGAAGAAGAATACATTTTTAAAAATGTTAGGCCCCGAATATTGGAAGTAAAGAGACCCATATTTGTGTTTTTTTTTTAATCCATAACAATTTACCTATAGATTGGCACTGGATATGCTTGAGCTGGACATAATATGGCCAAATTGCCACCCTCAGCTATGGTGTCAATTTCAAAGCTATCTTTTTTATTGACTCGCGGGCCAACACTGGCCACAGGTTCTGAAAACAAGGTGGGCAAAATGTTAGATTTTATTCCTAAACTAATTTGAAAAACTGCCTAAATGTTCGGAATTGGGTTCTCGAATTCGCTAAGTTAATTACCTATAAGCCGGCACGGGATATGCTTGAGCAGGACATTGAATGGCAATGGTACCATTTTGGCGAATTTTATCATGATTAAATTCATCTTTGCGATTGACGCGTGGCGCCACGCTGCCAATGGGCTCTGGAGGGAAGTACACATATTTCAATTTATTGGGCTAAAAAATGATCTTGAGAACATCCTGAATGTTGGAAACAAATTAACGATAACAAAGATATCGATTCATACCCATTTTTTTTTTAATTTCGCATCGAGTACATACAAAATTTTATTCACGTTCCTCGATAAGTTTTACCGATAATTATCGATGTTTATAAAAACAATTTTTAGGTCGGAAATCTCTTGTTCTTCAGAAGGGAAATCTTCAAAAATCTATTATTTGAATATTCTGATAATTTTATTTTTTTAACTTCTTTACCTATAAAATGGCACCGGATAGGCTTGAGCGGGACACTGCAAAGCAATGGGTCCATGTATTTTCACTTTTTCATGGCTAAATTCATCCTTGTGATTGACACGAGGACCGACACTGGCAACCGGTTCTAGGGAAATAATTGAGGTTTAAAATATAATGCAGAACGAAAAGGATTGGAAATGAAACGAAAACTGCCGGAACCGGAATAAGGGCCTTCAGATTGGGGATATGTGGCTAGGGATTGTTTAATTGGTATATAATCTCACATTGAAAATAAAATGCATTGGAAATTTGGGTTTTGGTTTTAAAATCAGTCACACTTTTTTGAGCTCTACGTTGGGCGCCATAAATTAAATATTGCGCTTGTTGAAATGTCAAAGAAGAAGAGATAAAGAAATCATTACTTTATAATGTGAATCTTTCTAGCCCCAAGCCCTACATTAGGTCCATATTACCTTCTTTCCAAAAATTGCCCCACGTTGGGCGCCATATATTAAATATTTATGTATAATTGTGTACTTTTAAGATGAATTGACATTTTAAATAAAAATAGGCAAATAAATCATAGCATCTTAAAGTGCATTACTAAAGCCCCACGTTGGACGCCATTAGGTATATGCATTAGGTATATATCACAGAGGACTATTCAAATATTTCTAAAATTGTGTTCTTTTTCTAAATTGTGTTATTTGAGAGGAAGAAATCATTAAAGTTTAAAAAACAGTACACTATTCCAATTCCACGTTGGGCGCCATTAGATAATTTTTTATAACTTCATAATAAAACCTTTTTAAACTCAATATAACCCTGAAAAGGAAGGAAGTACAATTCCACCGTCCAAACGGGGGAATTAATAACCTACCCTTAATTTCGGAATCTGACCTACTTTGGGCGCCATATATTAAATATTTTTGTTCAATAATAATTTTAAGATATATCTCGGAATTTTTAATAAATTGTGACAAAGAAGTTCTGGTGTTCTCAAAAAATGAATTATCATTGGCCCCACGTTGGGCGCCAATCCATTTATTTTTAAATTCAATAAAGCAAGAATATGAAATTGCATCATGAAGAAAATAAAATTTAATGACCTCTAAAAGATCCCCTAAAATTTCCGCAGGTTTCATTGGACGCCAGTAGGTACATACGTAAGAACAATTTTATGACCTTCCAAAATTTTCCAGCAAATTACCTATATATCGGCACGGGATATGCTTGAGCGGGGCACTGTAGTGCTATGGTTCCCTGCAATGAGATTTTTTCATGACGAAACTCATCTTGATGATTGACACGGGGACCAACACTGCCAATGGGTTCTATAAGAAAATATTTTTTTCAAGAAAAGTTTTCAATATTTCCTTCCAAATACCCTGAAAACCTTGCCTGAATATTGGACCCTAAATAATTTTCTTCCAGAATTTGAAATCAAAATCGCTTTTACCTATATGCTGGTTGAGGATAAGCTTGAGCTGGACACAACAAAGCCAAAGAGCGATTAGATGCAGACAAAAATATTCCAAGTTTGTCTTTGATTTCAACCTTGGGTCCCACAGAGCCCATGGGTTCTATAAGAAACAAAAAAAAAACTAAATTTAGTTAAATTCTGAAAAAAATTGCCTGAATATTGTGGACCCTAAACAATTTTCCTCGAAACCTCAAAATAAAAATACTTTTACCTATATGCCGGTTGAGGATAAGCTTGAGCTGGGCACAACAAAGCCAAAGAGCGATTCGATTCGGACAGAAATATCCCTACTTTGTCTTTGATTTCCACCTTGGGTCCCACGGAACCTACGGGTTCTGTACACAAAATTATAATTATATTGTGGAAATTTGAAAATGTTATACTAAAAACTGCCCATGTTGAGATAAGGCCCTGTTTTATAAAACAAAAAATCGGGATAAAGCATGACTATTTTAAAAAACCAAAATTTTTTGGATTTGGTCTTTACCTAAATGCCGGCATTGGATAGCCCTGTGCCGGGCAAACCAAACTCAGCGAAGCTTGAGATTTTATTATGGCAATTTTAACTTTGTCATTTAAATCGACTTTGGGAGCCACGGAGCCCATGGGTTCTACACAAAAAATTTAGAATGATTTTATTAGGAAATTAAAAAAAAATATTGGAATGAAAACTGTCTGAATATTTAGAGGAGGATTATGTACCTAAAAACTGGTGTGGGAAACGCTTGACCAGGACAAGTGATACTAAACGCGGAGCCTGATTTCCGCGAAACAAATTTCAATTTATCATCCATATCGATTTTGGGCGCCACCGAGCCAAGAGGTTCTAAAAAAGGGGGAAATAAAAATTACCAATCTCAAATTTATGTTGAAGAATCTAAAAGGCTGCCTGAATGTTGTGACATAGGACATAGGAACTACAGAACTTTTACTTGTGCAAAATACGATTAGAGGCATTTTTTGAAATTGTGTCACGTTGGGCGCCAGTGGGATTTGGTCCCACAATATATTTTGTTTTCCAATGGAATATGTATGTAAATTTTCTGTTATTTAGTTTTTGAAATTGTGTCACGTTGGGCGCCAGTGGGATTTGGTCCCACAATATATTTTGTTTTCCAATGGAATATGTATGTAAATTTTCTGTATGCCTAGCGAAAAATTAAAATATGCCATACGTTGGGCTCCAATTGGCATTTCTTCGCTCTATGCCTTCATATTTGTGGTTTTGTGAAATCGATGTCAATAAAAATAATATTGGCTGCAACTATGGAAAGTTTACAAATGGTTCCATGTTGGGTGCCAATTTGATATTGGAACTCTTTATCCCATTATTAGTAAAATTTAAAAAATTGCCCCACATTGGGCGCCAATTAGATTTTGGTCCTATATTAATTATTTTTGTAATTAATCGTCGAAATGGAAACAAATTCCTTGTGATTTTACTTGCGCAGAGAATATTTTCTTGGTGTTGCTGGATTTCAAGTCCCACTTTGGGCGCCTAAGCTCAGGGTAATTAGGACTCTATTTGTTCGCGAATCTAATTTTTGAAATAGTCCCTATTTAGAGTCTGATTTTTTGGTAACTTAAGAGGTCTGGGTTTCAATTATTACCTATAAGCCGGCATGGGATATGACTGAGCTGGACATACTAAGCTCAGGGCAATACCCTGCCGTTTATTCACCAATGTCAAACGATCTTTGTCATCCACCTTGGGACCAACGCTGCCCAGAGGTTCTGAAATTTATATAATATTTTTATACAAGCTGGATATTTTTTAATGAAAGCCTCTGCCGAATGTTGGGAATCGGACCTAATTTCTGATCTAACATCTAATTGAAGGGTAATTTTTACCTATAAGCCGGCATGGGATATGATTGAGCAGGACACAATAAACTCAAATCCATGCCTTGATATTTATCCACCAAAGTTAATCTATCCTTGGCATCCACTTTCGGAACCACACTACCCAAAGGTTCTGCAAATAAAAGTAATCGTATTTTTTGCAGTTGGAATAGCAGATCTGCGTAGGAAACTTGACTGAATGTTGGGGAGGGGGTCTCCTGCTAAATTTGAAATCATTTTTCTTTAAAATAGATTAAAAATTACCTATAAGCCGGCATGGGATAAGATTGGGCTGGACACAGCAGACTCAACGAGGTGCCTAAATGTTTATCTACCCAACTGATGCGATCTTTGGCATCCACCTTGGGCGCCACACTACCCATAGGTTCTGGAATACATATTATTTACAGTTAAATATGAAATACTAAATCAATACTGAACTGAATGTTGGTAGGGCCCCAAATTAAATCAAAACACGCTATAAGAGTATCGGCAAAGTGCTTCTCATGTTAGTCCCATTTTCCTAACATTTCATTTTCCAAAATTTCAGACTTCTGAAATCTAAATAAAATCCAAAAAATAAATTCTAACGTTACAAAATCTCAAACTTCTGAAAACAAAATAAAACCTACCAAAAATAAGTTCTTAAATTACCTATAAATAGGCACTGGATAAGATTGCACTGCACACATGAGGGCCACACTTTGCAGCTTGTGTACTCGGGCATTATTAACCTCATCTTTGATATCCACTTTGGGCGCCACAGAACCCAAGGGCTCTAAAATGAATGACAACCAAAATTTAAAGATTTATGTGATGTAGGTAAAAAAAATCCTGAATGTAGTATATGGTACCCATCGAAGAAGTTGAACCGAAAAAAAACTGATGGCTTACCTAAATCTCGGCATCGGATATGACTGGGCTGGGCATATCAAAGCCTTATCCTCGTGTAAATGTACCCGAGCATAGGTGAATTCATCTCGGGTATCAACTTTGGGTGCAACACTGCCCATGGGTTCTAAGGAGAAAGATATACAGGTCTCATTGAGTTAAGAAAATTTTTTGGAACCTTCCTGAGAGCTTGTTGGGATGTAGTACCTCACATTCGGTTGAAAGCGTATAAGTAGTGCCGATTTTTTGGTCTAGGGATCAGAATTGTCTCCCAAATCAATATAAAATCGTTTAGAGGCCCAACGTGGGGCAATACTAAAACCCCACGTTGGGCGCCAAAATGGGTTTTGTGAATTCAATTGATAAATACCATATTATTATGAAAATTCCAGTCGAAATATTTATAATAAAATAGAAACATATGTTTCCGCATAATAATGGATAAAGTTATGGAAAGTTTACAAATAGTTCCATATTGGGCGCCAATTTGATATTGGACCTTTATATTCC